TGAAATTTAGAGAAGGAAGTGGTCACCCCAACTTGACTCACCCTTTTGTGTGCAATGCAGGGCTAAAGTTTAGAGAGGGAAGTGGCTATGCCAAGTTCACTCACCCTTTTGTGATGCAGGGGTAAATTGCCATTTCAACTTGACTGACCCTTTTGTGGGCCATGCAGGGGTAAAAATTAAAGAAGGATGTTGCCCTTCCAAGTTGACTCACCCTTTGGTGAGCCACCCGAGGGCAAAATTTAGAGAAGGATGTTGCCATTTCAACTTGACTCACGCACTCACTTTTGCCGATTTGATCTTGATACTCACACCCTGCCTCTACACTTTTCGAACAGGAGGCCGATTCTACCACTCGATGTGTCTTACTCCTGTGCATAGATTTCCTGACTTTCGTTTGGCTCTGTATAATTCATTGCATGTTTTTTCCGAGCGCTCGTGGGGGGAGGCGCTGCGCCCTCCCCCCCAACCCCCCTTCCGCGCAACGAAATCTGCAGATAGTATTCAACGTCCCTGCCATGAAATCAGGCTTTTAGTGGAACCTTGGTAAACCTTGCCCACCAAATCTGCAAATGCTATTCAAAAGTCTTGCGACGAAATCTGACTGTAAGCGGAACCTTGCCTGTTGAACATTAAAGCTGCTGTTATTCTAGACAAAAAGCCAATCAGCCAGGAACCAACAACTTAGTATGACACACAGGAAGATTTGAGCGGAAACTTGACTTTTAAAAACTAAAGCTGCTGCTGCTGTAAAAAAGAGGCCAGAAAGCCAGGAAGAGACAGGAAACGTGATTTAATCCCCCTCCCCCAACCCGCCCCTGTGCCACAAGATTCCTGCCACGAACTTCGACTCTGAGCGGAAACTGCCTGTTAGCCAGGAGGCCAGGCAGGAGGAAAGAGATTAGTATACAGGCCGACGCCCAGCCCAAAGAGGGTTCGTGGTAGAATTTTTTTGATTAAGTAATTAGTTTTTTATTGACCCCCTTGAATATTTTTTATTGACGCGATAAATAGTTTTTTTTGATACTTCACCCGTGATTCGCGACGGGGCGCTGGTGAGGTCGATGGAATTCTGGTATGAGAAGTTGAAGACTTGCATGAGTTGGATGGTGAACTTGCTGCTTACTGCTCTTATTGTTCTTGACGTCTTGGATGAAGTTCAGGAACATGTGAATTGGAAGCAGATCTGAACAAATTGCCTTCAAACTTTGCGCTTGCACTCGTTTGACAATCTCGACCGCGTTTACCGTCAAGGTGACTGCGGAGACGCGAGAACAGATCTCTGCAATTCAGGCTTCTGGCTCCAAGGGGCCTTGGGGCATGTCGGGACCTGTATGGGTCAGACGGATCCTGTAGATATGTTTGATTTGCAATTGATCCCACAGTGAAATACCCCAAAGGGACAGGCAAGTTTCGGCTATCCCTGCTTAGAAAGGGGTAGAGTCTGGTAGAGCAATCGAGCTGTCCTTGTTGTGAGCCAATTGGCAGTTCTTGATCCAGAAGCCATGGTAATATATGGTAATATATGATGAATTATGATGATATCTTCTTTCTTACCACCTTTTGGCGCCTTTCTCCAACCACCTCGCCGCGAAACGTCGGTTTGACGTTGTTCTGAAACGAGACCTGTGGAGATGAAGACGAGGCGAAAAGGCCATGTGTTTCATGAGGCCAAGGGAGCAAAGATGGCTTTCATGGTCTTGCCTGATGCGGTGCAGAGGACTTACACAGAGGTGAGGAGACTCAGTTTGGTCGAGCAAATCGGGGAAAGCACTGGATTCTTGATGCTTCTGGGTGGTTTGTGAGGTTTCGACTAGACTGGTTTCCACAATTGACCTGTCTTGGTCTTGGTGGAAACTGTGGGAACCCAGTTGGAATTCTGGTCCCACATGGTTCTTCAAACTTCGCGCGGCTTTGCATGTTTTTTCCTCCTTTTGGTCTTAGATGGATGCCCTTTTACGGCCATCACCGAGCCACCGTCCCTCTACGACGCTCCAAGAAGGCCTGGCCTCTTTTCTTCGCGGGCCGTGGACTGCACACTGGTTGATGAGGTGGCCATCACCGAGCTCGCAGCCTTCGTACACTGGCGGAAATCGCAGGCGCGTCTGGAGCACAGGGCCTTGGCGGAAATCGCTGGCGGACATCACCGGCGCTCCGGACTGCGCACGGTGACGATTGCATAGTCTGAATGGCCCCACCTGAACGACATAAGAAAACACATTGGCTAAGAACTGTTGAAGAAGTTCTTCACTTAAAGAACATCCCTGCAAACACTTCGTCGTGACCGTTGTGACCGTGACCGTACCGTCGGTCCGTTCCCCCGAACCCGAACCCGTTGCAGGTGGCCCTCCAGGAGAAAGGCGAGATCCCTCCAGCCACGGAGTTCGAGGCAGAAGTCGGAACGCGCGAAGTCGGAGTTCGCGGCCGGAAGACGACTCCGAAGACGGCGCGAAGGAAGAAGGCGTGAAGAGACGGGCACTTTGTTTGGCGCGGTCAGGGTGGCTGGGATTTGCTGAACATCGAGGAGAAGAGCGAATGGCTGCCAGAGGAGACCTGGGAGATTGTTCAGACCGGTGGAACCCTTTGTTGGGATGTGACGGCGAAGAGCAAAGGTCCATGATTGTAACATAGTGACCGGAAGGTCAAGGTACTGCTACAAGCTCACAGAAACTGAGGTCCCGTTTGGGTGGCTCAGTGGTTGTGGAACTTTGAATTAAGGACCCTTCACAGCATGTCAGCTAAGAGCGCATTTTTTGCATTCCAGAATCCCCAAGCCTTCCTGGCGGCAGATGCGCAGTGGGCGTGGGCTCCCAGGGAGAGGATGCTTTTGGGAGATAGCGTTGGCATACATGCCTTCATGTCACCCCACCCTGCATCATGCCTGCAAGAGAGTTACTGGAATAGCAGGAGTTCCTAAATACTGGAGTTCGGAGTCACAGGGTCATGTTTTTTTGGCCTTCTCACGTCCACCCCGAATCAAAGTCCATGACCAACCTGTTTTCACTTTTTGCCAACTCCGCCGACCGCCGACCCCTTGGTTTTCCGCCACACGTCCGGGGAGGACGTTGCATGAGCTCCGACGGGGGGGCCAGTCCACTCGGTGCTGACGCCAGGTGGCGTTGCTCGCTGAGCATCCGCTGCGAGAGCCAGGCGAGGACCCGCTACCGCGAGACCCGAGACAGGTGCAAATTGGCCATGCAAATCTTGCAGCTTGGTGTTTCTATTTTGTCCAAAAAGGAATGAGCAACACCCGCTTTGTGAAGCTGGACCCACAGCCAGGCGCTAAGCCCAGCGTGGGGGGGCCCAGACGCCGTTGGAGTCCTCGGAAGGGTGCGGCTGATTCCCAACACAAGTTCCTTCTTTGCTAGTGCACACACAAAAACACATATCAATACACATATATTATATATATATATAGGCTTAGGTGAATGCAACCCTTTTGTTGAATCCGCCTATCACTATCACACTGATATAATGTTATATTTGTGTGAGATGGATTGCAGAGTTCCACGATGATAGGGACAATGTATCCCAAGGTGCTTTATAGGCGATTGTGCAGACCACCATGAGTTTTTGGTCAAGCATTCACACTATGTTGGCAAGCTTTGTTTGTCCGACACCTCATGTCCGGAAAGTGTCCTCTTGAGGCTTCAAGTCTGTCATCCATCCTTGTGCTCTTGCCGAGCCCGGCTTGCCATCGTTGTGGAGGTACCAATCAAAGGAGAAGCCAGCAAGAGTGCTCCCGTGAAGCAGCAGGCACAGTATGGCAGAGCACGGCATGGCATGCCACAGCTTGGCACAGCATAGCGAAGTGACTCCCAGATTAGCCAGATTCTAGCTAGCATTGCTGGCTGTGAAGATGATGAAGATAGGATGCGATGAAAGGAAAGGAAAGAAGCACATCTTTGGACCGCTCTTCTGAAAGGCAGTTGTCAAGAAGGAGCTGAAGCAGGATCCTCCAGTCTGTGAGCTCAGATTTTTGGAGGCTGAGATGAGACGCAGACACAGGCATAAATCATCATGATTTCATGTTGAAATCTCTCTACAACCTCCAGAAAATTGTACTCCTCAAGTGGTGCTGCAAAGCAACATGATTCATCTAACTATTCTTGGTTGGCCTTCAGCCTTGAACTCCCAAGCTACTTTTGAGGCGAAGGTTCAGAAGCAAGAAGCACCAAAGGAGAAGGCAAGAGGAAGGGCATCGTGGAGAGTGAAAGCTCTCGACACCCAGTGCAACGACACCCAGTCTCTCCGCCTTCCGACGCGGACGGTCGGATTGGACGTCAGTTCACTGGACGGACGAAGGACTCGTCTTTCACGGCGCCCGGGATGCGCGAATGTATTGGGCAGGCCGTTGTGAAGCAGGAGCCCACGAAGCCGAAGAACGGGACCGAGGCACCAAAGAAGGCCACTGAGAGAGGTGAACGGAGGGCTAGTGGGTTAAGATGGACGACAACAGATGAGCAACTTCACAAGAAGAGGTCAAACAAGTTTTCTTACATGATGAGGGCTCATTCTTGCTTTGCACAGTTTATTTTTTTTTGCTGGCTGGAACACCTACTCCCATCAAGGGCAGAAGACGAAGTGGGTCTGCAACTCCGTAGAACGATCAGGCTCAGCGAATGCCTAGATGATGGCCACAATGACTTCAAAGTCAGCCTACCAGATTTCAAGGAGCTCTTGTGCCAAATTTTTGTTCCTATACAGATGTACACCCCCAAGCTCTTGGACATCAAGGCGCATCTGCCAGAGGAGATTTATGTACAACTTGATGGCCTTGCGTGTGCATCCCCGAATGAAAGGGAGGTACATATCTATACTGATGGCTCCTATACCAAGCGAATGCCAGATTTGGCAAGTTGGGCACTTGTGGTCTTTTTTGATGAAGGGACAACGTACCCATGTCACTGAATTTGCAAAAGTGGCGCTGGATTCCCTTGCAAGTGGATGGGCTGGCCATACTACTGCTTCTGCAAGAGCAGGCGAGGAGATGGCCCTTGTCCGAGCAATCGAATGGTGCCTAGCATATGATCGACCTATATGGTATCATTTCCATTTTGATGCACAGAGTGTTGGCTTCAGTGCAGCAGGAAGATTCGGGTTCCAAGCAGATGATATTCCGCAGAAAATTCTGCGTGGCCTGGCGCAAGCGCTCGAAGTGCACTCTGATAGGCGAGTGATGTGGCATTATGTAAAAGCACACCAAGGCAATCTGGGAAATGAACTGGCTGACGCCCTGGCCAAGCTGGCCTTGAAGACAGATATCGCCAGCCCAGAACGACCTAGGCCAGAATATGCGAATTACTGCTTCGGCAAGAGAGCGCCAATTGAACACTTTTGGTGGACATTCCATGAGCTGCGGGGGACAGAAAACCTGCCTAGGGTGTTCGATGGCACGATTCATTCACATGCTATGAGTAAAGCAAGCAGCCAAGGGTGTAGACTTCCAGCAGCCCTCTCCCAGCCATTCCCTGAGAATCGTTTGCGTGAAAAGATGATCCGGTTATCCGTGATGACCTACAATGTCCGGACCTTAGCACCTCGGAAAGGCAGTCATAAGGTCGGCTACCTCAGGGAACAACTAGCTGATGAAGGGTTCCATATCGCTTTCCTCCAGGAAACGAGGGTCAAAACATCTAATCTGATAGTGTCAGAGACGCACTTTCGTGTAACCTCTGCTGCTATACAAGGACTAGGAGGCACAGAAATTTGGATTTCAAGAAAAGATGTGCATACTGGGCGAATATTATGCGACAAACAGAGCATTAAGGTACTGTATCAAAGCCCAGAATTCCTGCTTGTACGAGCGATTATACAGGGTAGTACGCAGTTGCTTTTTTCTGCTCATGCGCCGCACACTTCGAGTCCTGCCGGAGTCACCCATGAATTTTGGGATGTCTTTCGAGAACAGATGCTCCGATGGACGGCTGAATGCCCCAGTTTTATCGGGGGGATTGATGCTAATGCACATTTCGAACATCCAGCGGAGCCACACATAGGCAACTATGGACTAGAAGCAAAGGGAAATCTGGCTGCTGATCTCTTCAGGGATATGCTCATGCAGATTAATGCCTTTCTGCCGAGCACCCATTCTTGGTGTCACACTGGACAAACAGAGACATGGGTTAGTAGTGCAAACGGACAGAGGTCAAGGTGCGACTACCTAGTTGTACCACTAGGGTGGATGTCCGGCCAACTACGCACTTATTTAACCAAGCAGGTTGATTCGGGGAATCAAGGCGAGGACCACCTGCCGTTGGCGGGAACCTTCCGTGTCCTGTGCTCCAAGATGCAGGCAGTGAAGATTAAGCCAGAATTCGACCGTGACCAAATACATAGGACAGATCGGCTCAAAGTTCAACAGGCGTTTGCCGATCCACCGATGATTCCATGGAATGTTGATGTTGACGAACATGCAACCAAGCTGTCTGACTGGGTTGTTGAGCGACTCATGTCAGCCTTCCCTAAGCCAGAAGCGAGAGCCCGAAAAAGCTATATATCGCCTGAGACATGGAAATACAGGCAAGCTAGGTTGGATGAGAGATCAAGCTTTCGTGAAGAGAAGAGCATCATGGCAAAGCTCACTTTGTATGCTGCATATCAAGCATGGTACAAGGATAAGCCTTTGAATGCCCTTCTTACTATTGGGAAAGCAATTGCTAAATGCATGCACCTCTGTGTGAAGGGGAGGAATTTAGCACAGATGGGGAAAGTGCTCACCAAGCACCTGCGTGATGATAGAACTGCGAGTCTGACAGAAATTGCTGCTAGTACTGCCAACATGAGTACTAAGGACCTCTATGCGGCCCTCAGGCGCATCGGGATTCAGAGCAGGCGCAGACCGAGCGGCATACAGCCGCTGCCCCTTGTGCGAGATTCAGAAGGGAATCCCTTGAGCACATTCCGTGATTTGGCTAACCGATGGAGGGAGCATTTCGCTGAACAGGAAGATGGGGTGAGCATTTTACCACAGCAATTCCTTGATGACACAGCAGGGAAGCGCGGACTCCCAGTGGTTGTCCCGACTTGGGAGCACCTTCCTACGAAGATTGAGATCGAAACGGCATTTCGAAGCACTAGAAGTCACAAGGCTTACTTTGATGACTTTGTCCCGGGAGACCTCCTAGCGAGAATTCCAGAAGTCATGGCACAAGCATACTACCCTTTGATGCTGAAGCAGGTCATGTTTCAAAGGGAAGCTTTGCTGCATAAAGGAGGGAGATTGATCCCCTCTTTCAAAAAGGGAGACCCTTCCATTTGCAGCAATTACAGATCCTTGTTTGTGTCAAGTGTGGTTGGGAAAGCCCTGCATAAGGTCTATAGGCAAGAGCTCAGCCAGACGCTGGAAAACAACCGACTGTCCCTCCAAATAGGAGGCCTCAAGGGTCATTCGATTACACAGGCATCCCATTGCTTGCACCTGCTACAAAGGATTGCCCTCCAGCGTAATGAGTCCCTGGCAATCATCTTCGTAGATATCCAGAATGCCTTCTATCGACTGTTGCGTAAGCACATTACGGTTACGCCTGATGACAGCAGGACGATAAGAGAACTTTTTGCAGGATTAGGGCTACCTGAACAAGCGTACCATGAGTTCCAGGAATGCATGAATCAGCCGCCGGCACTAGAATCGGCAGGAGTCTCGCCTTTTCTGAGGACACTGTTCGGGGAGTTTTTCACGGACACATGGTATAAAATTGAAGGGGCAGAGCATTGGACAAAAACACGAAGAGGAAGCAGACCGGGGGACAGTTTTGCCGATGCGTGTTTTGCCTTTGCCCTTTCGAAGATTCTCCGAAGCATTGATGCAGATTTAGTAGCAGAGTTCCCATTCATCAGCATCGAATGGAGCGGGCATCATGACCCCTTCGAGCGACATGAGCGACACCAATTAGGACCCCTTCTGCCAATTTGGGCCGACGATATCTCATTGGCAGTTCGGCACCCATGCCCTCAAATATTGTTGAGGGAGGCGCCACGAATCGCGTCGCTTTTGCTGCACCGATTAGCGACAGCGGGCTTGAAGCCAAATATGAAAAAGGGGAAGACAGAAATGATCCTTGACCTCAGAGGGCCAGGGTCACTGCAGGCCAGAAGAGAACTCGTTGCGACAGGATATCAACTCTCATTAGAGACAGAATTGATTGAAGACCCGTTGCACATCACACATGCCTACTGCCATTTGGGCACGATCATTGATTCCAAAGGGCGATTCAGTAGAGATTTTCGGCAAAAGATGGCTGTAGCGCACGATGTGATCACTCGCTACAAGGCACAGCTTTTTAGCAATCGGGGCCTCGATCTAAAACGCAAGATGCAGCTTTTCGATGCACTGGTGATCAAAGCGATCACTTTCAATAGTGCCCTATGGCAACCACAAACCCCCAAGCAAAGGGCGCAGGTTCAAGCTGGCTTTCTGAGATTGTACAGAAGAATCTGCATGTGCCACTTTGTGCCGGGGGCCAAAGAATGGAGTGCCAGTAAAATACATGCAAAGCTCGAAGTCCCGCAGGCTGGGGTGATTTTGCGTGCTGCCAGACTCAGGTACTTCTCACAGCTGGTCAGATTGGGACAAGCGCACACCTGGGGGCTAATCCAAACTGAGCAGAAATGGTATGGCCAGATCTGTTTTGATTTGGAGTGGTTGTCGCGGCAATGTCCAGAAGATGAAGTACCCGGAGGAGGATTCGAAGACTGGCCCAAGCTATATGATCGCTTGCGCTCCCACCAAGGTCAGTGGAAACGCAT